CTTTTTTGACAGCCCTACGTATGTGTTGAATCCGAATGTGTCCAGGAAACACATCCAATGAATATAGCGTGTGCAAGAAAGAAAGAAAGAAACAGTAGAAAATAGTGAAATATTAGAAATGACCTATATTTATAGACATAGGGGGTCCGAATATTATAATTATAAATTTACCCTCTAATCGTTAGACTTTGCGAGGGTATCCGTAGTAAGTCTTCAAAAAAATACAATAGAATGCTTACAAGAGTTATCCAACTGATATTTAATCCAACAATCGTTTGTTTCGACCGACCGATCGCCTCGGGTTGCGCATAGGCCCTTGATCATTGATTCACTAATTATTGTCTTAGGTCGGCCCCAGGTCGACCGTTTGGGTTCTCTTTTCAAACCCTTTTTCAATTGTTGACTGGCCGGGTGATTTATTGCTTGGGTGCCCAATCACCAACCATGTCGTACTTCTTGAGATCTATACCATGTGGTTTGGCCCATCGCCTCCCGCTCCAGCCGTTGGATTGCTTTGTGATCTGTGCTGTCATATTTTTCATATACAGTATGTAAATTTCCCATCCATATATATAAAATCTATAGGTTATAATTTTTATGTTTATCTACGTTCTTATTTGAGCATTTAATACTTTATTTACACAATAACACATCAATTAATAATGCTCTTAACTCTTCTAATCGCAATTATTTGATCGGATAATTAATAAATTGACTTTTAATTCGTACAACAGATCCCAACCATGTGGAAGTTTATTTTGACCACCATAAAGTTGACCATTTGACCAATGAATTTAGTCAAAAGGATTGCGTGAGACAATGCTCTTTTCAAATGTTGGTAGGTTTGCCAATATAAAAATTGTTTTTTTTTTTTTGCAAAATATCTTTTCAATATTTTAAAGTGATTTTTTATTTAGAATATTTAGAAAATGTATTTAAATTAATATAGTTTATTATTTTTATCTTTTTTTCAAAATTAATTAAAAAATAATAATAACAAATTATAAAGAATTGCCATCCTTTCTATATAAGAAATTAGCAAGAAAAAAAATATACTTATATCATTTAAATCTTCCAGTTGGTGATATCTTGTGCTCTCAACCCCAAAGAGTATTTTGTATGTTATTTTAGATTATTGTATAAACAACCTAATGTTGAAATTGATTGCATTGATTTGTTAATTAATAGCCTTATGACATCACCTAAATGTTAAAAAAATTTGGACGGTATTTTTCTTCCGTTTCTACCAAGTTTTGGTTGTAAGGTTTGGGTATTCATGTTCGACATATCAAGAACTGAGTGACCTCCGTTTAAAAGAGATTGTCTATGAATTTCTTAATTATTTGTAGTTAAAGGAGTAAGTAGTGAAATCCTCATCCAAGTGAAAATTCGGTAGTAATGTAGGCTAGTGTAATGCCAAATCATATAAAATTTGATGTCAAAGTATTCTTTAGCTTAGTTTTAAGTCTTGTGTGTTTATTTATTTATTTATTTTTATAAGTTTTCATATTCTTATGATGATATACAATTGGAATGATTATTTGTGTTGATATTGAGTAATCAATAATTATGACATGGACAATCTAATTTCTCTTATTTCTAGCATAATCTCTTTATAAAATCAAATTGATATGTGTGAGCTATATGCATGATTTGTTATTTGATGTGCTAATACCATCATAGCTTGTGTAGTAAAGTGAATCATTTCTATTGTGCCCAATAATTACACACTTGCCCATTTTCCTTATCTTATATGCATACATTATTGATCACTTGTTTGGTGTTGCACGTGTAGGTTGAATTAAATTATTAGAAGCATGTTTAGTCATTTAGTTGGGTGGAAAATCATTCATAATCTGACCTTGTAGTAATACAAAACTTATATATTTTGTCAGCATATTTGTACGCTTGTGTGTTTAGTTCAATTATTTGATTGATTATTTATGTATTTTTGTGAGTTTGTTGTGTGTTTGAGTTGGTAAAATTTCTAAAGAAGCTCCACATTATCATCGCATACCCGATTCAATCCTACCCATTTTAAATGCGTCTTTAAGAGAAAGTTTAAAAAAAAATCATCATCTCCGGATTATATATGATCTTAGCCATAAATTAAAAAAAAAAAAAAAAAGTTAGCAAAATCCTTGTTGACTCTATTTGCACAAACAAGCCTTTATTAATGATCTCAATAAAAATCATAATCTATCCATCTCACACGAATAAGTTTGTTGAAAAGAAGAGAGAGGCCTCTAATGGATTCCATTTCATTAAAAAATAGAAATGACTACTACCACCATAACCTATGGGAGAACTCACTACGGTTTAACAGTGAAAAAGCACTCTTCTTTGGTGTCTCTAACCCAGTTTTCTTCTTCCAACTATATATCAATAAAAGCATCAAAGAACACTGAAATTATGTTTTGTATTTAAGTTCTATAGAATTCTAAACTAGTAAAGATACTTTAGATGACAAGGAACATGAATAGGGACGAAGAAAGACAACATGAAGAATGGATATAGTCACTAAAAACACCATATAATGGCATCTTTATATATTTTGTTGTTTCCCACTTTTCTCTGTAGAGACACCGAGTTTGAAATTTAAAAAAAAGTGCTCTGTATCATAGATTTGTATCTGACTAAAAACAAGAATTTGCCAAGGAAAATGTAGTTCTTTTGATGAGGCATAATTAATAGGGGCATTTACATACATAATACTCAATATTTAAAGGCCTAAACTTTATTTTTTTTACATTTATATCACCCAAATATTTCATTTCATATCAAAAAATACTACCAGTTTAACTTCTAAAAAGTGAAATACATCTTACATGCACATGTAAGGTGACATATATATATGAAGTTTAGGTATAAGACATCTTACATGCACATGTAAGGTGACATATATATATATGTAAACATTGAAGTTTAGGTATAAGGTTTGTAATTACATAGGGAGTAAGTGACATAAAAAAAATACCACCATTTTAACTTTAAAAAGTGAAATATACATTTCATGCACATGTAAGATGACATATATGTAAAAATTGAAGTTTAGGTATCAGATTTGTGATTACATAGGGATCAAGTGATATCAACAAATGTGCAATCATTTTGACTTTTAAAAAGTGAAATACACCTTTCATGCATAGGTAAGTTTAGATACCATGTTCGTAATTACATAGGAATTAAGTGGCATGTATGTAAATCTTCTTTGACAAAAAAGAAGCAAAAGCTGTGAATCAAATAGCAAATTGCTGCGGCTAACTTATTATATTTATGCCAAGATTCAAATTTTGACTAACACAATCCCTTCCCTATTTTAATCATTTGTCAACAGCTTATGCCAGGTTAAAAACCTAAATATCGTCACCAACATCCCCAAATCTGACAAAATAGTCAAATCAGGATTTGGTAAACGAACGCCAGAATTAAAAAAATTGAATCTTTATGCCCTCAACCAAATATAAAACCGAAACCAGAGGGACCTTGGCTCAACATTCTTACCAGTTTTCCTTCTTCTAATGGCGCATAAGATTCAAAGCTTCAATTTTTGTCAGCTTGGGCGGTACTTTAGCACAAAGGGGCGGCGGACACATCCAGCGCCGCCGCTCAAATCATCGCCGGTGAAAGTCATGGGGCTCGACGGGCGTGTTAAGGTGTATCACCGACGGATCAAGGTGGAGGAGTTGATGAAGGAGCACGCTTGCCACCTCCTTTGCAGGTCGGATTCTTTCTTCATAGGGCAGAAGTTGCAGGCTCTTGAAGCTGCCGAGGAGCTTCAGATGGGCGAGAGCTATTTCATTCTTCCTTCTCAGTTCTTTCAGTCCGTTCTCTCCTTCGTCACCATAGCGTCCTCCCTCGCGAAAATCGGCGGCGGTTGCGGGGGAAGAGATGGAGGAGGTCGGTTGAGGCATTTCGACATACACAAGACGGACAGTGGGAAGCTGCAGATAAGGATTAGCGAAGAGGTGGAGGAGATTGTGGGGGAAGAGGAGGAAGGAAAAAATGGGGTTTTGTGTACGACGAAGGAGATGGTGAAGGAATATGAGAAGCTCGTGGGAGTGGATTTGCGGCGGTGGAGGCCGAAGCTGGAGAAGATAGCCGAGACGCCGGAGGGGAAAATGAGGAGGAGGGGGAGGGGAATGAAATGGAATTTTGGTGGGTTGAGGAGGAAAAATAACGATAAACATGTATAAAAAAAAAGGAATTTTGGAGAGTAGTGTAAATACTTCTTTGGCTTATGGTGATTACTAATTTCTATAAAAAAATAATTTTTTTTGTTTTTGTCAATACCTTGAATATGAATTTAAGATCTTGGTTGTATCGAAGTCAATCGTACTCGTTAGCTAATCTGTGGAGATGATAAACTATAGAGCTTTTTACCTCCCATATGTACGTCTGAAGCATGTCAACATTCTTATGTTCCCTCAAACGAGCTCGCTAAGTTTAAGGCTTCAGGCGAGCTCACACATATTTTTCGAGTTCTTCTTCTAAGCTCAATGAACAATCCTTTGAGGGAGAAAGAAGAGAATTCCAATTTGTCGACACACATATCACCAATGATTAACAATATGAAAATCCACGACTGGGGTATTGACAAAAAAAAAAAAAAAAGATTGTTGAGACTCCATCTATATTCTAGTTTTATATTTCATTCCTTCGACCTATGCGCGGGTACAAAAGCTCAATGATATATAAATAAGAGGAAAGAGAGAAGATGAATGATCGAATCCTGCACCCTCAAAAAGCTCTCTTATTATCCTCTTTAAGAGAGTCCTTCAGCTTTTTCTCACTTCTTTCACATGGTTTCTCTTGAATTGTATGAGTTCATGAATTATATAGGATCTTACATCCCAAAAGTATTCAACAATACATATTGTTGTAATAAATGTTTTTTAAAATTTTAAGAAAAATTGGATATATGCATTCTAAATCAAAATTTAGGTTTCACGAGCTCAAAAATAGTTTAAAAAAAGAAAAGAGAAAAATGGAGAAATTTATCATAAATTTTCATTCGAATACTTGTTAGGTTATTTGCTGGGTAGGAAATTCATAAAGGAGCATTGAAGCAATTTATGTATTTCAGGATAAACAGCTTATTCTAAAACGCGGCCCGCGGGTTGACTGTCGACCCACGACCTGCGTTTAGTGTAAAAATGAAACCGCATTTTCAAATAAGCAGACAAAACACACTTTTCAAACGGTACCGCAACGTTTTCAAAAACCCGAAACGAGCGCTTACAGGAATCTTCTTCTTGGAATTAAGAAGATCCGGAAATTTTCATGCATAATTATATCACACGATATGTTTAAAATGAAAATCTATAAAAGTTAGTAGGTAGATTTGTAAATATAAGAAGAAGAATTGTGCTCAAATCCCTAAACCTACCATTATCTCCGTCGTGGCCGGGTGAAGAAATGGCCTCCCTCCTGCGGTTCGGAGGCCAACGTCTCATATCTCGGAGCTCGCCTCCAATTTCTCTACTCCGGTGCTATTCTCTGACGGCGAAGAGGGACGATTCCGGCGAAGAAGAGCTTGAGTTTTTCGACCAGCGAAAGCTCCCAGCCGACTACAATCCCTCCAATTTCGATCCCACAGAGCACCGCACCCCGCCGGCCGATCGCGTATGGCGCCTCGTCGACGAGATCTCTTCCCTCACACTCACGGAGGTCGCCGAGCTCTCCTCCATTCTCATGCGGAAGGCGGCCCTCAGTGAGCCCCCCATCATCGGCGTCATAAAGCCCGGCGCTGCTTTACCTGGAGCTGCTGGCGCTGGTTTGGGGACAGCGGCTGACGCTAAGGAGGAGGAGAAGCCGGAGAAGACGGTGTTTGAGCTGAAGCTCGAATCATTCGAGGCTGCTTCCAAGATTAAGGTTATAAAGGAGGTGAGGGCGTTCACGGACTTGGGTTTGAAGGAGGCCAAGGAGTTGGTGGAGAAGAGTCCATCTGTTATCAAGAGTGGAGTTTCTAAAGAAGAGGCGGAGCAGATCGTTGAGAAAATGAAGGCTGCTGGAGCTAAGGTCATCATGGCCTGATGATTTGGGGAACAGAAGATTTCAGAGGTATTCAACCTTTTCTATCGGATTAATGTTCTGTTGTTGATCAGAATCTAAGTGATAAGTTAGTTTCTTTCCAAAACGTTTGGTCTTGGGCAAGATTTGAAGTTAGAGCACAACAAGATTGGGTTGTGATCAAATTTTGCTAGCTTCCATAGATTCACTCATCCAGGTGAAATTATTAGGGATGGATTGGTGGCATTTATGGTGGTATTGTAGTGGTATTATAGTGTTATTGTGGCAATACCAGCAGAATACCACTGATCCGCACCTATGTTCACCGGACATAGTAATTGCTCCCCATCCAGGCTCCAGAATCCTGATTGATTTCTCGCTTGAGGGAAGAAATATTTGGTTTTTTTGAAAAGGAGCATTTCATTGAGGAGGTGCTCTTTTATATTATGATAAAGATGAGATTTTGGGGATGGCTTACAGGCATTTTGTTTCATTTGGGTTGGGGAGGTTCTAAAATTTGCTATTTGGGTATCTCATTTCTGAATTTGAGGAACTAGATAACTGTAAACCATAGGAGACTTGTGTATGTTATTGTGTATGGTATCACCAAAAAATTCCTTTTTTACCTTTTTTGTTCTAAAGAAGGTATTGTTTTCTTCTTCATTTGAGTTTGTTAATTATCATCGGGGCATTTACATGCATATCACATAATTCTTATGTATTTACGTATCTAACGCATAAAATTTCAAACACATGCATAGCACACAAACTTTAACATTACATAAAAAATAGCACTATTTACCATTTAAATACTAAATACACCTTTTCATGCGTAGGTTCATGACATCAAATTTTTATATGTTAATATCAACTTTTGGGGTTAGATATATAAATTCATAAGAATTGTGTCGTATGTATGTAAATTTCCCATTCTCATTTGTTGGTTTTATATTTTGTTGCATTGTTGATACTTTCAAATTTGGCTTTGTGGAAATTGTGCATTCCTTCCTTTTCTATGCTGATTTACTGTTTTTTCTTTTTTTCTTTTTTAGAATCCGAATTAAATTTTAGGGATACTTGAAGCCAATAGAGGTGAGTGAGGGTGATTTCTGTTACCTATTTTGAGTTTTATGCTCAGGGAATTGTTGGTATCCGTTGGCAATTACTTAACCATAGGGTTTATCAAAAAATTTAGGGCCATTTACATACATACCACCAAATTTCTATGTATTTACATATCTTAAAACCTAAACTTTACTATTTACATTGACACAGCCCCAAAGCTTTCATATCATATAAAAAATACCACCATTTTAACTTTTTAAAATTACAATACAATTTTTATGCATAGGTAAGGCATGTCTGTAAAAATTGAAATTTAGGTTTTAGAATTGTATAAATTTTCCTTAAATTTTCGCTATTGAATGGCTAACAAAAAAATTTATTTTGTTGAATCAACTATTTCTATTGTAATTAGTGATATGCAACATGAGGATTTCTGTTGGTTTTCGTAGCACAATTAGATTTTAAGGACATATTTGTTATTATGCACCATTCTCTTCTAGGTTATCATCTTTATTGGGCATAGAACAACTATTTGGGGTTGAAGTAACTCTTTATTCTTATTTCTTGTTGACTGGTATTTGGAATAACATGTATTCATGTATCTTAATTTTACTGCTTTGCTTATTAATCCTCTATTGGTTTGCTAATTTTAAAGGCTCCATTATCTACACATTTACTTTATTGTTTTAATTTTTCTTATCAAAGTGAATGTCTCACTTATTCCAGTGAATGTCTCACTTATTCCAGTGAATGTCTTACTAGTTATAATTGTAACATTTGCAAAAGGTATACACCAAGACACCAAGCTTTGAATATATTTTTTCATTTTCAATACAAAAAGTAATTTATTTATTCAATGTTGATTTTTGAAGTAGATCTAATGTAATAAAAAACTATTATATTACTTCATAATTGCTTCTTTTATTGGTCAATGCTTCATCATTTATAGTATTTATGGTGTCGAAGATTTGCCTTCTCAAGGTCATCAAAATAATATGAAGATTCTTTCTTTATTCTTTGTACTTCTTCATTCATTATCTTGACACAAAAATCTGTCCATATTATATATTCTTTAGATGAAAATAAATTTGTTCTCTGAAGTATATGTTAATGTAATTTTTTTAGTCTAAGTTTGTTTCTTTAGCTTCATAGTGTGACTCATAAGTTTGAATCCTCTATAGTTAACACAATCTTGAACTTGATGATCCTTTATCTAATTCTTAATTTGCCTCCTAGAAGCAATATCCTTCCACAAACCCCTATTGTATCAAAGGTTTTCTTTCAAGAGTCCACATTAGTGAACTTGGTCGAACTTGGCTATGTTTAACTGCTTCATTATGTGTTGGACTAACCATAGGTATTCAAATGATTTCAGTGAATTTGACTGGTTGCAAATTGTAATTTTATGGGTGTTAGTTGTAATTTGTGAAGGAAGAATGTTGAAACAAAGCTATGTCTCCATACAATTTCATTTGTTACTAACTTCATTGGTATTCCTCCATATTGCTTGATTATAGACTTTTTTAAGTGGCCTATCTTATACACTTAAGATCATGATTTAGGGTGTGTTTAGGGCAGTTGCATTTGTTTCGATAAGCAACTGTGATGCTGCTTTTAGGATAAGTTGTTATTAGAAAACAGTTGATGGTGAAACAATGTGGATGTTTGAATAATCTGTTGTATTGTAACTGTTTCTGAGAAAAAAAATGAAAATGTCTTTATATACAGGTGTTAGCTTTAAGTCAGTAGTTTCAGAAATAATTCAAGCAAAACAACAAAAAATGCATTTCCCTTGTTAAAAAAAAAAAGTTAAAAGTCCATTATTTCACATTTTCATACCAAAGAAACTAAAAAAATCAGTGAACCCTATAGTCATGTAATAACTAAATGCACTCGAATACACACAGAAAGAGGAGGGCCCCATAAGCCCCCTCATTTTCATCAATTCACATTTCAACATACCAAAGAAACCAGAAGAAACATAGATGACATAACTAAGTACACTTGAACGCTCAAAGAATTATGAGAGCCTCATAAGCCTCACATGCTCATCAATTCACATTTCGGGATATCAAAAAAACCAAAGAAACTAGATAAACTTATATAAATAGCATAACCAAACACACCCAAACGCACGCAAAAGGAGAGCCTCAGGAGAGCCTCGTAAGCCCCTCCATGTTCATCAATTCATATTTCAACATGCCAAAAAAATTAACGAAACCAGAGAAAATCACATGGATACATAACCAAATGCACATGAATGCGCGCAGAAGGAAGATAGCCTCAGAAGCTTCGATGCTCATCATATCATATTCCGACAAACCACAACACACCAGAAACCAACCTCGCAACACAAGAGAGAGAAATAGGAACCTAGCAAAAAATATGCGAGCGAGAAGACAAAAGAAGGAAGAACACGGCCTATCAAAATGAGGGAAGAAAGGAAAGTTGAGGCGTGCCTGCAATGAAGAATGATTGAGAATGGGGAGATGAAAGCAGGAACCGAATCGAAAAAATCTTAGGGATTTGTCGGTGATGCTGGGGGTAGAGCTAGGAGAGTTGAGGAAAACCGTAAGCGAAGCAGCAGAATTCAGAGGGAAACGAAGACTATGGAATGCTAAAAACAGGCGGCCACAATGCAAAAAAATTGAAGCCAACACACCTCAAACGAATCGTGGGGCTGCGGGAACACGCACTGCCTCGGTGCCGCTGCCCCAAACACACTGTCTGTTCAAATTTATTGATATACGTGCATTTTTATCAAAATAATGTGGATTGAATAGAAAGATGTCCATTCATTCTTTTGCTTTTCATTGAGAAAATCAAGTTTTACATACATACCACTCCATTCATATATACTTATTTAACATCAAAACTTCAATTTTTATATAAATGCCACCTCACCTATGTATGAAAAGGAATATTTTACTTTTTTTTTTTAAGTCATGACGGTGGCATTTTTTGTGTGATATGAAAGATTTGGGCGGTATAAATGTAAAAAGTAAAGTTTAGGTGTTATATATAATACATAGAAACTGGTTGGTATGTATGTAAATTCCCCATAAATTAATTATGGTGTCCTTACCTAATGACAAAGTCCAATTTTTTTCATAGTTTTTTTACTTTGACTTCAACGAGTGACTTGAGTTGCCTGTGTTTTTTAGGGATTGTTTGGTTGGCTGTATCATGGATGCTAAGCTAAGTAAAAGGTATGTAGGTAGTTTAACTTATTTAGGTGTTTGATATGAAGTAAAATGAGTGTAAAGTGAAGGTTCGAATTGTAAAATAACTTAATAAGGGGGGTTTTGTTGCAAAAGGGACTCACTTGAATCGGTCATTTTACATTGTTTCTCGTTACCAAAATGTATCTTCTTCCTCACATTACCTAATTTATATTGAAAAGCCATTTTCATCCCTTGAGTCCACCTCCATCTTCCTGTTCTCGCTTCATGTGTGTGCAGAACCGATCTTTCTTTATAAAGTTGGTGAATTTTAAAAAAAAATTGGATTTTTTTGACTTTGGTTGGATGGATGAGCTCTGCATGAACTGAGGGGAGGATTTTAAATATAAATTTAGGAAAATTTACATTCATACCCCGCAATTCTTATGCATTTACATATCTAACACCTACAGTTTGATATTTACATCTGTAGAATTCCGAGTTTCTTATTTTAGATTTATTCACGCCTACGCCTTTCTTATTATGTCGTATTTCTTTTCTTTTGTTGTTTTTTGTAATTTGAGTTACAAAGCACACGAGTACATCTAATACCAAGCAGATCATATATTGTTTATAAGTGGTTTCTTATCTTATCTTTTCATCCACATTATTTAAAAGGTCCATTTACACACATACCGCCCAATATCTAACACCTAAACTTTATTTTTTTACATTTATACCATCCTAACCTCTCATGTCATACCAAAAGTGAAATATAACTTTTCATGAGCAAGGTGTTATCCTGCTTTGTATGTTATATTTTCATAGTGTTGTTTTCAGGAGACATCCTAACATTGCACGATGATTTAAAAGATCGATGTCATAAGTTTTCGACAATTTTCTTACGATGACCGTCAACCACCTAGCATTGCCGTTTATTTTTTGCATTTGAGACTTGAAATCTGACAATGACAGTTTGAGAGAGTACTTGATTTAAATTAAATCTATGACAACTATCTATTTATGTTGCGACTCTTGATTAACTTTTCTTTGATGGATTTAAATTTCTCTATGATTTTTTTGGGTTTAGATCTTCCAATTTTGTTACTATATAATTAGTTTTTTTTAAAATTTTTTGGGTCTCCATTGAAAGACTTTTAATTCTTGTTTTAATTGGTTGTCTTTGGAACTACAAATCTTAACTTGGACCATGAATTGATCATCTCAAGGCATTCATATAGGAACACAAACACAATATTATTAGTAATCAATTTAACTTGACAAAGAATTTGAATTGAAGGGCTTTTAACATGCTCATTTCGAGCTGAGTTGGGGTTGGCTCAAAATATGCTCGAATGGATTGAGTTTGGATCGAAATTAGGTCATGGCTACTTAGCCAACTCAACTCGAAATTGAATTGAGCTCGATTCAGCTTGAAATCGAAACAACCTAGCAAAAATATAAGTCATTTGGATCCATTCTACCTTGAAATCCGGCTCGATCTATCTTGAAATATAAACATTATGGCTTAAATTAAGTATTTGGATATTTTTTTATCTTGAAATTGGCTCGTAACTCATTATAATTAATTTTATTTAGCATCATGTATGACTTTTCTATATTAAAAATAATTTGAGTCGATCTTGAACTAGTTCAAGCCGAGTGGTGTATGGCTCTAAATTGACTAAAAAAAAATTGATCCAAAGTCTTGGCTCATAGCTCAACTCATTTATTTCAATACGATCTAGATCCGAGCTAAAGTTTGAATCAATTTTAAATCGCTTATTGATACTCAAGCTAAATTCACAGTCCCAACTGGAGTTTAAAAACAAAATAAAGCTTGAGATTATACCCGAGCATGAATATTCGATAAAAATTGAGTATTTTTTAATGTAAAATTAAATCAATCATATCTAATATAGTTTAAAAAACTATAATCAAAATATAATATGATAAAATTTTATGCCTAACAATGTCATTGTTGGGTTCTAAGCCTCAAATATAAAAAAACTGAAAGGTTGTATTAGACAGTCGACGACCAACATAAAAATTTGGTTGGAAAATTATGAGATGAATTCTTCAAATTCTTGTGTAAATGTTATGTTTCCCCCTAAAAGCAATGCATGTATGATCTGAATATAAAAAAAAGTGTGCAAGGGTTGTTACAACGACGCCTAGGTGTACTTTCAAATAAGCAAGAGTTCTTACATTACAGATAGATGTGTGCAAATGATATGATCTTAAAATATAGGTACTCTCATAGATATATTAATGAAATTAGTAGATATTATGGTTCATAAGAACCTAAATATTTTATGTATTTAAGAAACTAAATTGGTTAGAGAAAATGATGAGGAGATTAATAACTTAGATTTTAAATTTTGGTATTCAGGTAGGAGTCGCACTAGAAATAATGTAGATGTAATTATAGATAAGAGTTTGAAAGATAATATTATAAAAATTAATAAAATTTGAGAGATAATTATAGTTCAAAAGATTGTTGTTGATACTAAGATTTTTAATGTTATAAGTGTTTATACTCCTTAAGTAGGTTTAGATATGAGTTCAAAAGAGCAATCCTGGAATGACTTTGAATAATTAATACAAATGTTACCTCTTAAAGACAAAATTTTTATTCGATGAGATTTAAATGAACATTTTGGTAGAGTGATAGAAGATTTTAGAAATATTCATGGTGACTACGATTTTGGAGTGATTAATGAAGAATGTTGAACCATATTAAATTTTGCTTAGCAATTTATTTTGTTATTGCTAATAATTTATTTAAGAAAAGAAATAGTCGATAATGTAAAGATTGCAAGGCCATTTCAAATAAAAATTTAAGTACTCAATATTGATTATTAGTTCTGAATTTTAAGATGAGCAGTTGTAAGATAAATAATTTAATGAAACATTATCATAAAATTAGACGAGGCGTTTAAAAAATACAAATAAAATTATTTTTATATGAGTAAACTTTAAGATTTCAAAATTTGGGATGTTCATGAAGTTAATTCTATGTGGAATAAAGTAATAAGCATTATTAAACAAGTGATAAAAGATATGCTTTTGTGAGTCAAAAGGGAAATTTTTATAAATAAAAAAAATTTGTGGCAGAATAATAATGTGTAAGAAAAGATAAATATAAGAAGTTGTGTTATAAAAATTAGTTTAAATGTAAAAGCTTAGAGAATTGGAAAAAAATATAAGGAGACCTCTAAGGAGTAAGAGAACAATTTGTGACACTGAAAATTCTGATTTATATATAAACTAGCCAAAAAAAATGATATGTGAATGAACTATTTTGATGAACTTTTGAATGAAGTTTCTGAAAATACTATTGACTTTAGTGATCTTAATATCGTTAATAATAATAAAACGTTTTTTTTTCGTTGTATTAGTAAAAAAGAAGTTAATGAGGCTTTATAAAAATCAAGGGTGAAAAATCAGTAGGACCTTAAAATATCACAATTGAAGTCTTGAAATATTTGGGAGGTTCTTGGCTTACTAAAATCTTTAATATTATTTTAAAAACTAAAAAGATGTTTAGGAAGTGGAGGAAGAGTGTTTTGGTCACCATTTTTAAAAATAAATGGGATGCACAAGAGTGCAAATTATAGAGGAATAAAACTGATATGTCATACTTTAAAATTATAAGAGAGTAATTAAACATAGGTTAAAAACGTGATACAAAAATTTCTCATAATCAGTTTGGATTTATGCCGGTAGATCTACTTTGGAAGCTATACATTTATTGAGAGGTTTGATGGAGAAATGTAGAGAGAACAAGGGGGATCTACATGTGATTTTTATTGATTTAGAAAAAAAGCTTACGATGAAGTTCTAAGAGAAGTCCTTTGGAGAGTTCTGGAGAAGAAAAATGCTGATATGACTTATATACAAGTTATTAAGATATGCATACTAGAGTTGTTACTTGTACTCCATCACAAGGATGATTGACCAAGTATTTTCATATTTAGGTTGGATTACATCAGGTATTGTCTTTAAGCTCATTTCTTTTTACTTTAATTATAGATGCTCTTACTGGACACTTATAGGAGGATGTACTTAGGTGTATGTTTTTCGCTGATGATATCCTTCTTGTGGATTAAACTAGAGAAAGAGTTCAGAAAAAACTTAAATGTTAGGGGTCTACATTAGAGTATAAAAGTCTTCGAGTAGATCTAAAACTGAATACACGGAATCTAATTTTAATGGCACTAGCTCTAATGGCAAACTTATAATTATGGATGATCAAATCATTAAAATGTGTGAATGTTTCACATGTCTATTGTTCTACGTGATGGTGATATAGATGGTGATATTATTAGTAGAATTCAAATTAATTGGTTGAAGTGGAGGACTGCATCGAGTCTATTGTATGATAGAAAAGTATTGTTTAGAGTTAAAGGATGATTTTATAAAATGATGGTGAAACTTGCAACGCTCTACGATGCAGAATGTTGGCCTTTAAAAGAGAAGTATAAAACAAAAAATTAAGTGTTGCTTAGATGAGAATGCTTAGGTGGCTGAGTGACTTGACACTTAGAAATAAAATGCAAAATGATTATATCCATGATAGGGTTGGTGTAGCTCCAGTGGCTTACAAGATTAGATAAGAGTCATCTTAGATGATTTCACCACATCAAATATCAACCATTTGATGATCCGGTTAAAAGACTAGATATCGCTGTTAAAAGACTAGATAGCGTAGATTCAACTTATGATAAAAAAAAGGCAGAAATAGGCTTTAAAAGTTGGGCTTGTATAAAAAATGGTTTTAATTTATTAGAATTAAATGAAAATATGACTATCAATAGGACTCAATGAAGAAATATGATTCATGTAGCCAGACTCCACTTAACGGGATAAAGGCTTGTTGCTGTTGTTGTATAAAATTTTATGCCTTTTTAATGCGATAAACTATTCAAATTGATGTGTTTTTAATTTGAAAAGATAAAGGAGGGCTTCATACATCACTCCAAAAAAAAAAAAAAAAAAATTTCCTATTTAATGAAGAGTTATGTTGATGTATGAAGAGTTAAGTTGATGTTTGAGGGAATTGTTTAGAGATGAATTTCTTAGAACAAGTTTGAAATCTTCATACATCTGACCAAAGTTAAAATTTCATAGTTATTATGAACAGTCTTTTTTAGTCATTCTGGCTAATTTTTTTGCAAGGAAGCTGTTTATTCATACATGCTTGCCATATTGTGTAATTTGTTTGCTTTCATTCTTTCATTAGGATGATTTACATACATAGCACTTAATTCTTATGTATTTACGCATCTAACACCTAAACTTCAATTTTTACATACACGCCACCTTAGACATGAACGTAAAAGTTACTTTACTTTTGATAAGTTAAAATAGTGATATTTTTTTTTATGTGATATTAAAGATTTAGGTGGTGTAAACATAGAAAGGTAAAGTTAGGTGTTACATATGTAAATACATTGGAATAGGGTGGCATGCATGTAAAGGCCCCTTCTCTTTATAATCCCTTCTTTTAGGTGTCAATTGTCTAGTATTTTTATTATCAATTTGTATTATTTTTTGACATTTGCATTATTTTCTTAAATCAATTTGATTTGCATAAAAATATTCATAGGATCATTAACTCTTAATTATGACAATTATTAGTTTGTTGTTAATGTGAATATGAGGTATTTAGACTAACCTTTCTTGAAGTGCTTGAAGTTTATACTGATGGACTATGAAACAATTGCTTGAAAAAAAAATTGCAAAGGAAAGGGAGCATTTACATACAAACCACTCAATTCCTATGTATTTACATATCTGCCCCTCAATAGTTCTTTACATCTCTATCACCCAAATCTATTAAATCACATAAAAAA